CGTACGCCTGCGCTCACCTGCTTGCGCGTGCGACTGCTACACGGGGGCGGCCGGCGGGGTGCGCGTGCGCGTGTCCCTGCGTGTGCGCGCAGCCTGCGTGCGGGCCTGCCTGTCTGCCCACGCGCCTGTTTCTGCAGCCGTCGGCACGTTGTGCACGCCGTGGGCACGCCCAGGCGGGTTTTGCACGTACAGAGGGTGTGTGTGTCTCTCTGTGGATGCATGCGCTGGTCTGTATCTGCGTTCCTCTTGTTGCGTTCACGCGTTTCCATGCCGCTGTGGGTGTGGTGCGTCTGGTTCTGCGTGGGCCCTTGCGGGGTTGGTTTCCTGGGCGTGCCACCACCCAGCTGTGCCCTTCGGTTGATTCTCTGTGCGCTGGGGGAGCTGCGTGGGGGCGTGAGGACAGCTGCCAGGGGATGGCTGAGCTCCTAGGGAGGTGGTTTGTGGCTGTGAGAATCACAGAAGGTCCCGAGTTGGAAGGGGCCCACGGGGGTCGTCGAGGCCAGCTCCTGTCCCTGCATAGGACAGCCCCAAAATTCACACCGTGTGCCTGGGGGCGGCGTCCAAATGCTTCTTGAACGCTGTCAGGCTTGGCGCCGTGGCTGCCTCCCACGGGAGCCTGCAAGCGGGGAGGATGCGCATGCCGCGCGCTTTGCGCCTGTTTTGTGTCACGGCTGGGCCTGCCGCGGGTGGTGCCGCGGGTCGTGCCGTGGGTCGTGCCGGCCGTGCGTGTGCCTGCGGGGTGCGGGCGGTGCGTGCAGAGACGCGTCTGCAGGGGTCAGCAGCGTGTGCGTTTGCGGCGGCGTGCGGGCCCGTCCGAACGGCTGTCGGGTGTCTGCGTTTGTTGCCGCCTTTGGTAGGCGGCTCTGCCTTCCCTTGCAGGCTCCGTCTTCCCATCTGGAAGTAGAAAACGCTGCCTTTGAACCAGGGAAGCTGAAATCCGCGTACAGACCCTAGGTCCCCAGCTCTAAGCAAACCGCTAAGCGAGTAAAGCACTGAGCAGCGTGAGAGTTTGCTGTTCCTCTCTTGTTCTGGTGGGGCAGCGGCTTTTCAGGAGCTGAGGTGTTTGTGTCTATCGAGGGATGCTGTTTGGCCCGCCGGGCTGGAGCCCAGAACAACGCGGGCTGAAACTCTGCTTGTGTTTAGAATTTGGCACAAAATGGAGCCATAGGAGGCAGCTGGAAGGGAGGCCTTGCCCATTGTCCTTCCTGCTTAAAAAAATCAGGACTTTTTAACTTACTTGCTTTGGGCCGTAACTTAAGTGACCCCTCTTTCCTCTCTCCCCTTCCTGCCTAGGAAAAAGAAATGCAATCAAAATCTGAGCTTCATTTTTTTTTTTTTTTGTTTGAAAGCTTCCTATTCTTAACTGTGGTCTTAGAATGGTTTAATTGCACGTGCTGGTTGTTTTGGTACAGTCATTTTGGTACGCACTTGCAAAAAAGTCCGTCGGTGCTGTGTGCTCTCCACCTCCACAGAAGACGTCGTGTGGTAATTCTGTGCGAAACCAGAAAACTACTAAATCAATTCACAATCTCAGCTTCATGCATAGCACCTTATTCTCATTAAAACTCCTTGCCTGCCGTAATGAATATGGAAAAATGCCATTAACAGAATTAGCTAAGTAGATGGTGAGCTGTGTTAACAGCCTAGCTGACAACTGTAGCTTCACCTATTCTATGCAAATAGTG